ATACAAAGGTACTCTACAGATATTTATGTGGAAAGTCAAAATTTTAAGTGGCTTACAAATCCTACAATCCGAAGGCATAGCTATTAATACTAAAAAAAATAATCCCACAATCATTTTGTTAAATACATATAATATATTGCTATATATAATATAAGATAAATATATATAATATATTGCTAGTACAATTACGTTAGGCGTTAACATCGGCTACACTCTCGACGCAGCTTTGTAACTTATTGTGAAATGGAATGAAATTATGGTTATATAACTGGTAAATATATAGCATATATACTATTTGTAGGTATCGTCAAAAGGAGTGGTGAAATGCGTTTGTCCCGAAGTTTTAGCAGGCGCCCCGTTAGAATGCTAAGCCTGTCGTTATGTCCAGATAACATCGTGGCGGAAATTAAGGGGAAATTGTATTTGTTTCTTATACAGCAAAGTAACAATAAACCCTCTCATAAGCTTGGTTCCCTTCGCACTATGTAGCAAAATAGTTATTTCTCTCTAACTTTATATACCAAGATAAAACGCGTAATCGCATTGATTTTCATTTGGTATAGAACCGTATAATAATATAACAATGGAGGACTTAAAATCTAACCGTAAAATAATGTTGATTCTTATTTAGAACCACGGAAGAATTTATATGGTCTGTGTTTAGAACTAATTTGAAACAAGCATAATAACCGCTATCCAAAACCATAGACAGAGAAACTTATAGACGCCGCCATATCTTTACTCACGCAAGAAAGAAAAACACATAGGTACGTTATGGAATGCGACAGTGTGTCACAATTTTTTGGCTTTTTTCGTGTGCCGGTTTTTTCAAGGTCACTTTTGTTTTGCTATTCAAGCCAACTTGCGTATAACTTTGCAAAGCAAATAATCTCATGATCACTATAATTTCCGTCTGACAGAATACCCTTTTACTCAACGATATCTCATAAACACTACCCTCTATTTGAGTAGAAGGTAGTGTATAAGAGATAGAGAATGGCTAGGGGTATTACAGTTGAAATCACCATCACCACCCAATGTCCCATGACATTAACAGAACTGTCAATTGATTAAAAAAGACAATGAAAACGCTACCTCAACACCAATCATAATAAAAATTACACACTGCTTGTTAATATAACAAAATAAATTATCCCAGAGCTTACACAAAATACCATAAGGCGCATATACCTATAGCTCCGCACTTGGCAAAATTTGTATCCCGGGTACCATGGACACGTACCTACTTACATAGATAACGAATTACACCAAAATTCACGAGAGAAATAAATGTAGGTCATACAAATATTTCTCTCGGCCCGAGAAACGAACCCGGGACCTCTGCGTGGCAGTCCAGCATGGTAGAACGGTGTACATAGGGCGCACTATAAGTTTCCGGAACTGGCCACTTACATAAACAATATTTAAAAAGTAATTACAACATTTAAAAATGGAACTCTTTGGCTGTAAAATACAGTTTGTTTCATCCGACTGTCACTTGCTTTTAAATTGTGGCGTCATTTTAGAAATTGATTGTCTACATCACCATGGAAATTTTTGCACTCGTGAAAATTTTCGTAGTATGATTTTCTACGACTTTACGCGTAATTTAACAGCACATCCGAGCTTCGCTCGGCTTCAAACTGCTTTTGGTGATGAAGCACCATGCAAGACGACTATTTATAGCTGGTTTGCAGAATTCAAACGCGGTCGTGTGAATCTCAGTGACGAATTTCGTGATGGTCGCCCATCCACGGCTGTGAAAACAAAAATATGGATGCTGTGCTGTGATGATCAAAACAGACAGGCATGTGACATACCATGAGATTTGGGCATCTTTAGGCATAGGCATGAGTTAAATACAATGAATACTACACAAATATTTGGGTGTGAAAAAGCTGAAAAATGTTTAGCTGAAAATATTTTGAGAAACATTAAATTAATTTGTGACCATTTATAGTATTTTTTTCTTATTAATTCCGGAAACTTATAGTGCGCCCCACGTGTAAGTGTAACTGCTTTATGACATTCTTTGTCTCATGTGTATCTACGCCAAGCTTCAAGCTAAGCAAGGGGTCTCGTGTATTGGATAAAAAAAAATAGGTATCCAAGGTTATTTAAGATGATTTTTTTTTTTAATAAAAAGTAAGTGCGCATTTGACCTTCATTTCACCTGGTGGAAAGTGACGATGAGGTCGGCGATGTAGCATGCACACCTAAACAATGCCTATTCACTTTCGCCTTAAAAAGGTCCAAGTTATAACTTTCAGGGAACAGCGGGCAGAGAATTCCACTCCATAGCCGTTCGCTATATAAATGTGGAAGCGAAACGCTTCATGCGAATCCTTGGAAAATCCACAACATAGAGGTGGAATCCCAGCCTGCGCCTAGTCCCCCGATGATGGAAAGGGGAAGGCGGAGTCAAATTATGCAATTCCATTGCACACTCTCCGTGATATATCCTGTAGAATACCGTTATGCAGGCAACTTTACCATGGTGTTCAAGGTTCTGCAGCTTCGCCTCTACTAATTCCAAGTCACCTATAAGCCTCTAAGCACGTTTATCGATTGAGTCCAACGCGGCCAGTTGGTATTTAAAAGAGCCATCCCATAAGTGACAGCAGTACTCCATACACGACTGGACTTGTGCTTGGTATAGCTGAAGCAACTGTCCCGGTGTGAAGTAATGTCTTTTTTTGGAAAGGATGTCAAGCTTCCTGGATGCATTTTTGGCCATGGATTCAATGTATCTGCCGAAGTTGAGATTGGACGACAGGTCCATTCTAAGCAGCTGGAGACGGTCGGCTATCGGTATGGATATATCACGAAAAGTCGGAGTCAGATGAAAGGGTCTCCGTTTTATGGAGAATAGACACGCCTGCGTTTTGGTCGCGTTAATTTTGACAAGGTAGGATCGCCCTAATCGACTTAGACTTTTTTTTTATTTTATGGAATACGCGTGTTTACGCGTATTCCGTTCAATCAATCGATTTGCAGCAAGCGGAAGGAGGTTTCCATCACTCACACAGACATTTATCTAGCTAGATCACAAACATATATCTAGATATGTCTGTGGGTACTATATAGGGGGTACTATTTTTTAAAATTTACTTATAAAGCATTGGCTTCAGAGCCGTCAACTAAATGGTAACAAATAATCAAGAAACTCACAACATAATTTAAATAAACTAAAAATTAATTCGTGTAAAACATGTAACTACTAAGAACCGCTATTTCGAATGGTGGGTACAAAAAATGTGACACGCTTGGTTTTCATACAAATTGCTGTACTTGCGGCGTCTATCTAGATATAATATATCTGTGGCTTAGATGATGGAAAAAAATAAAGTCTGTGGAGACTGCCTGGGCTTAGAGCTTAGACTATGGAAACTATTTTTCCATCCTCTAAGGCTTAGAGGATGGAAAAAATAAGGTTGAGTGTCAAATTCAAACGACTATAGTTCATAGTCGAAGAAGATACGTCTATGTTCAACACCTAAGAGGATGGAAAAAATAGTAAATATAAGCTTTAATGACGAATGACTTACGTCACAAAGCACATGAATATGAAATAAATATACAACCTCTTTAGTTCTATCTTTAAGAATTGAAAAGACAGTAAATTAAAAAAAATGGAAAAGTAAAAGCACATGTGCGAAAAATTTAACTTTCGGCACGATTTGTAGTACGAAAAATACTATGTTTTGAGCACCTGTATTAAAATAGTTATTTTTGATATAAGTGCGGAAAGTTAGTCATTATTCACGAGGCTCGAGGCTTCTTGGCCCGAGCCAGAGGCGACGGTCAAGACGCGAGACTAGTGAAAATGACAAATCCGCAAGTGTATCAAACGACGTTTTTAATAGATTTGCGAAAAAACTACATTGAAAGTAAAATAAAACAGTATTAAAAAAAACTCATTTTCTGCTAGTAAATTAAAATAATGAAATACAACCACTGCAACCATTATTTAAAAGTCTATGGAAATATAGTTCTAACGTGCTGTTTTTGTTTATTTTCTGTAATATCGGTCTGTAACCACTTTTCTTATTATGAAGTCCTGGTACTTTTGTTTAAACTTCTTTAGGAACCCGTGCACGGTAGTGAGATACAATTTATCTGTAATGCATAAAACAAATATATACATAAAAATCTCGCCTGTCACCCATTCAGGGGTAGGCAGAGACCTCCACTCGATACGTTCATTATATAGTATTTGTAAATAAATATAAGTTTTAGTGACGAATGACTTACGTCACAAAGCACATAAATATTAAACAAATATACAACTTCTTTAGTTCTGTGCTTAAGATTTGAAACAACAGTAAATTTAAAAAAACATGGAAAAGTAAAAAGCACTAGTGGGAAAATTCCAACTTTCGGCACGATTTGTAGTGCGAAAAATTACACGTTTTGAGCAACTGTATTAAAAAATATTATATTACGTGGCCAGTGGTTAAGTTGTACATTATTATCAAGTAAACCTTTTTTAATTTTCCTCTATAGTAGGTTATGTGACTGTTACATGATGAAAGTCAAACATTACAATTCGAGTGTGAGTTTATGAAACGAGCCGACAGGCGAGTGTTTTAATGCCTAATTATGTACAGTTACATACGCTGCTTTATCTACACACATATTATAAACTCTCTAAGATTTGTTCAGGAACCGCATGTTACGACTGGCGAAATGGCGGCAAATAAAAACTTTTCTGACGGATGTCACACAACCGTAGTTTATATAATTCATAGACAAACTTGAGTCGGCTCCCAACTATCATATCGTTCGATATCAAGTAACGTGTGAAATTTATCAAAATTGTTTGCTATTAACATTTCATTTCGAATAAATTTTCATCTCGACTGATATTAGAATGGAGGTCGATTGAAATCGTCTTGTTTTTTTGAGATGTTCTGATTTTGAATGTAATAATAAAATCTAATTCGATCTTATTATGCAATAACATGCAATAATAACATTTTCACAGATAAGAAGTTTGTTCTAACAAAACTGTTTATATTTATGGTGGTCGTAATTTGCAATTTTTGAACACATCATAGAGGGTTTATGATATGTGTAGATAAAATATGTTATGTCCATGATTTTAGTTACACAGAAAATGACCGTCACATGAGTTGTAATAATTAGTATTCGAACAGGCGGACCTTAAGTGGCATTCAATTAATATTCCGGTGCCAATATCTCACCCTGTCATTATCAGTAATTTACGTTCATACTATTTATTACGACTACATTCCATTTAGGATATTTGTTACTTGTCACATTCGTGGTACGGCTCGGAATACAGGATCACGTATCGTAGAGAAATTATACCGAGAAGTACAATATGTCTGACATAGATGCTAATATACTAAGAAAAATTCTGAAAATCTTAGAGGATCCTAAGTACCCGTCAATTGCACCGCATCTTTACTTAATGACTCTGACAGGCTTATGGCATCCGATTCGATCTATTGGCGCAATTATTAAGCGAGCCCTTTTTTACATCACAGTTGCTCTTTTATTCAGCCAATATGTCAGAATTATTATTAAATTTGATAATTACTCGTTAAACATCCTCCTACGCTATGCCCCGTTTCACATCGGTGTAATAAAGGCAGCTCACTTCCTCAAAAACTACAATCTTTGGGAAGATTTCATCACTTACATTGGTACTCTTGAGCAAAAACAATTGTCTGGAAAGGACCCCGTAGTAAATAAACTCGTCAATAATTATATAAATTATAACCGCTATGTAACATACCTTTTCTGGACTATGTCATTAGTCATGTGCAATTGGTTAATATCTGAATTTTATCGGGACTCAGAAAAGGAGCCAAACGTAGACAAATTTGTTATGTTCGATGTCTACGCACCTTTTAGCGAGCAACTTTACGCTTATGGAGCTCTTCAAAACCTGATGGCTTACTTAACAGGTTGTTATATAGTAGGATGGGATACACTCGTCGTGGCTGTAATTATATTTTTCAACGGTCAGCTGAAAATTGCAAAACACTACAGCACCAATCTAATTGATGGTAAAAACAGCGAAGTTAGTCATAAAAATATTGCCGATTTTCATCAACATTATATCACGCTAATCAAGTAAGTATTTTAAATAACGAAACTACATAATGATGATATTGTGTTACATATCGACACTGGAAAGGTAACAAGTCTAACGTGCATTTGGAAAATGTTACACACTCCTATAAATTTTGGATTTAAAGTATTTTTTAAAAACAAAAATACAATATTTTTTATTACATGGAAAATGAAATAATTAAATAAATAAAAAGACATTTATTTATCCACAAAACGCATAGGTATACAAGTATAAGTGAACATTGCGTCACCCAGTTAGGTAACTTTATAGCTACCAGCACCTGGCTAGAGATGTCGCTATTAACTGTAATTAAATTTGTATTGAATAAAAAACTTGTATTCAATACAAATTTAAATAAAATTAAAGTTATGAGTTCTGGTTAAAAAAAAAACTTTAAATCGTTCTCCAGGAATATTTTCCAAATGCACGTTAGATCTTTTACCTTTCCAGCATCGATATTTTTTTTACCTCCTTTAAAATTCAGTTTTCTGTTTCAGGTATCAAAAAATATTTAATGCTCTCATATCGCCAATAATGTTTACATATCTTGTCAACGTATCTGTGAATCTTGGATTTAGTATTATAGAAATTTTTCAGGTAATATGGGAATTTGCATGTCAACAGTCTCCGTTGCTCTCGGTTCAAAGACAGCTTTGACCTCTTTATAGCTACTCGCTTTTATCATATTCTTCTTTATTTGTTCACTGTATGCGATTCATCTATCCTATCTCTTCTCTTCTATCTTAAATTTTTTTTAAATAAACTGTTTAGTTCGAAAGATTACAAAAGTCATTTCACATTACGAAAGCTAAAGTTTTAGTACTCAAAAATTATGCACCTTAGGAAATCTCAACCACAGCGACATCTTAACATTATTACTTATTCCATAATTTTGTATTTACTTAAAGAGCTCCTAAATAATATATTACTCCCTAGCCAAGTGTCGTCTAACCAATCTGATACAGATCTTTTATTTGTTTATTCTAATCTTTGTACTAACTCCTTTGGCACCCTGTTTCATACATCTGGAAGTACAAAGACCATAATATTCTCCTACCATATACATTGTTATAATTTGGAAGTTTAAGGGTCGTATTCCAGAACTCTACTCAATGCTCAAGTCAGGATTTGAGCAGACCTGAGTATGATTTCAAGCACTGAAAATACGACCCTAATGGCAAGGACTTGAGTTTGATTTTCAGTGCTCACTGCAATACTCACGTCCTGACTTGCGCATTGAGTAGAGTTCTAGAATACGACCCTAAATGTACGATTGCTAGGCAATATTCTTAGTCTTGGTCTTGATAGTCTTTTTCCTTCTCCAAAAATTGAACTTTTTTCTTGGTAGTCAGATTCAATTGCTAAATTTACTTTATCATAAATATTTAATACTTTACAGTATTGGAATGGTTTATCATAATTATCTTTATATTTGTATTTCACTTTCTAGGGTACTATTTTCTTTAGCACTCTTATTTCCATATCTTATTTCAAATCAATTTTATTTCAGGATAAAGATAAAGTCATTCTCAACTTTATGTATTTAATAGCGTGCTTTATTCAATTGCTGTTTTTCTATTGGCACACAAATGAAGTCACGGTTCAGGTATGTACTGCTTTGTAACTGTTTATAAGGAGAAGGTTTATGCCGCGACGTCATGAGTTGAGTTACGTGTCATCATGGCGCAATAACCGACCATTATCACACGTGACGACAGCCTAATTAGCGTAGCCATTGTTTTTTCTCGTTTAATATACCCAATAACATTAAAATATGAACAACTTTAACCTTAAATATCAATATGTCTAAATGGCATTAAAATAGACGAAGTAGTTTTCGAGTTATTAAGAAACAAATATGTTATGGAAACGGTAATTAGTCTAATTACTGTAGCCATGGATACGGTGACAATGGCCGTTACTCAATCGGACTGCAAATCTCCGTACTCAATTCGTAATCTCACATCGTAGCTCTGAAAAAGGTCAAAATTCCGTCTTATGTTTAAATGGCGCCAATCAATAGCCTGGAAGTAATTTACATTATATATGTAGTAGTAGAGTTCCTTGTGAAAGAGTTTGTCCAGAGAAGTACTGCTGCCTTACCTATTTCTGCCGCCAAGCAGTAATGTCAATATTAATGTTTTCCGGTTTTGAAGGGTGCTGGTAAAATTATAGGCACATGGGACTTGTCAACTTATGTCTCAGGATGACGGGCGCAGTGGCAGAGCCCCGCAGATCTTTGCGATTTAAAGCTCTTTGCGGCACTGCAACTGTTGTGGATAGCTAACTTACCACCAGGCACACGACTCGGTCGTCCCGTCAATTAGTATTATAAAAAAATATGACATAATTCCTCTATGAAATATAAATAGTAATTTTTTTCCCTTGAAACATACTCAAATATTGTGTGCACGACGGTAGATGGCGCGACAATATCTGTAACTCCGACACGAATACATATATATTATTATTATACACATAGGAAATGAAACTATTTTTCCGGATTTAAATCGCGTATATTTGTGTTGTATAATTGTATAACTGGTTGAAGACTGTACCACCTCATTCAACCGTGACCATGGCATGGGACCTGTAAAGGGCCCGAAACGTCGGTTTGTTTGAAAAAACAAATATATGTGATTTAAATCCGGAAAAATAGTTTCATTTCCTATATATAATATATAATTATAATTATTTTTTCTACGGCTACCACGATTTAGCTTACTTTAGAACTTGGCTCGTTTTTCATAGATATTTTGTAAATATAATATAGTTGATTAGGAATAATCCCTCAACCCCCGACTTCTGCGCTCATCTTCAACTGTCCAACTTAAGATACCCTTACATACCTCCCAGTACTACGACAGGTCCTTTACTGTTCAGGCTATCGTTTGTCGAACGCTTTACCTTTGTCTATTCAACAAGCGAAATCATTGAGTATTTTCAAAAATATGATAACAGAACACTAAGTCTACAGAACATAACAGAACACATCTCTCGCCAGGATTGGTAGATGTAAAGGTACTAACTTGGTGATAAATCTTTCATAGATTTCTCATAGATGGCGCTACGACTAAAAAGTCGTTGAACAACCAAATACAAAGACACGACGTAAGCACATAAAAAAATTCGTGTGGTCCGTTGGTTCGTTACGTGGCTTAGTTGGTATAGCGTCTGGCACGGTATGCAAGAAGACGTCGGTTTAAATCCGACCGGATCGAAGGAATTTTTTCTGAGTATTCGATCTTTGTATTAATGATTATAATAAACTAGTGGAGTAATTTCACAAAAAAAAAATTGAATATCAATTCAATAAAAATTTAATTAATACAGTGAATAGCGATATCTCTCGCCAGGACTGGTAGCTGTAAAGGTATTAACTGGGTGATAAATCTTTCATAGATTTCTCGTAGATGGCGCTACGACTAAAAAGTCGTTGAAAAACCAAATACAAAGACACGACGCAAGCACATAGAAAAATTCGTGAGGTCCGTTGGTTCGTTCCGTGACTTAGCTGGTACAGCGTCTGGGACGGTATGCAAGAAGACGTCGGTTCGAATCCGACCGGATCGAAGGAATTTTTTTCTGAGTATTCGATCTTTGTATTAATAATTATTTTTATGTTTTAAAATTATGTTTTAGAAATTTTATTTTTATAGTGTAGTTATTAGGTGTAGCTTGTAGAGATATATAGTAGTTTATGATTATTGTATCATAAATTACTATACTATACATGAACAGTATAGAGAATGTCAACAATTAGTAGAATAAGAAATTCAAAATATTTTTTTTATAATAGGCGCTAATTAAATACCCTCGGCTCATAAATGTGTGGAATATCTATCGTCTCCAGTAGATAGACCACGGCGAAAACCAACCTATCTATCACTGAGAAGATCGTTAGCTTCGAAGTATCCAAGGAATCGACTGTTCAATACAAGTTCCATAGTCGTTCAGAGTACGGAGGTGATTGAGATTTGCGATAGTTCGATAATGGATGACTCGGCACGACTACCTTTCTAAGCTACAGGTACACCCCGGATACTCCATACAACGGTCGAAAGTTATTTACCTACTACTACATACAACAAGCGCTATCTGCACACGCGCAAATGAGTGCGTGAAGTGGCAGGGTGATCCATCACTTCTCGTACTATTACATCACGTGGTCAGAGCGGAAACATAGCGAAAATTCTAGCGCTAATCTGTTATCTATAACTCTATTAATAGAATCCTAATAATTACACATATTCATTAGGTAATATTATATTATTCATTAATTCACTAACTAGAATAATATATTAAAAACACTTAAAATGTTCTATTTTGGACAGGAACTTTTAAATAAGGTAACCAAGGTACTTGAAATTGCGTGTCCAAATCGTTACCTAGTTAACAATTAGGTATATTCACTACGTAATATTTATCTGCAATAGAAATTGAAAATTCAAGAATCCTTGTCTATTAGCTCACGAAGTTATGACTCTCATTAAATTGATATAATAAATCTGTATTATATATTACTCTGCACTAAAAAAATGTAGAAAACAATAACTGAATGAGTCTTAGATATATTTTTTTTACTTGCTTCGTTTCTTTTTTCAGAAATCGAAAGAAACTCCTCTCTTTATCCTGTTTAGATGACGATAAACAGCCGTACACAGCACAATTCACGACCATTATAAATAATAACGTACAATGATGTTAGGTATATATTAACGTACAAGTTCCGTAATGAATAAATGAAAACTATATTCAAATATCGAAAACGTCTTAGCGCGAAAACGGCTCGCCGACAGCCTTGTTATCGTTCAGTCAATGTGACCGTCAATGCGCTGGGCGTGGTGTGGTATCTTAAGCTAGGTAGGGGCGGTGAGTATCCATTCTCTTTACTTTTTTATTCTCTGCTACAGGCTGAACGTTTGCTAGATTCTAGGCTTTCGGTGTCCAGTCACTGTACTCTCGTTCTCCGTCCGGCTTTCGTTCTAAACAATTACTGGCAATTAAGTCGACGGATGTCAAACAGAACACAAGAGTAGACCCCCAGAATTGATAAAGAAACAATACTGGCAAGTCAGCACCGGAGACAATAAACAACGGAAAAAATCGACCTCTAATTTAAATTTCTTTACGCACGGGTGCTATCGTCACGTTTCCACGATGACGCCTACCGCCAAAGTAGTAGAGCCCATTCCCACATCCTCGATGCCTGGCATTCTAAGATCACGTGGGCACGTGGGTGCGTTCGTTTCTTCCTCAAACCTGCTAGATGTGGATTAGTCTCCTGATGAAGTGGACATAGGGTTCTTCAAAAAGCGACTGAGCGGAGCTCTTAAAGGCTGGCAACGCACAGCGCATATTCTAGACGTCTATGGGCGACGATGACCACCACCCAACAAGTGGCTCTTCTGCTCATCTGCCTCGTATTTAACGTTAAAAAAAAATCATCTCTTAATTCTATAGACAGGACCTCAATTCTGCAAATAGTAAATCATCTCAGTTGAGTGATGGACACTGAAAAAGTGCCAACGGCAGGATTTTGTACGTTTGATCTTCTGCTAAAAGTTAAGAGTACTTAGTAGCTTGTCAGCCATCGATCTTCTATTCAACCACCATTGAATTTTTTTTGGTATTCTGTTCTGCAATGGCGAGTCGATGGCACGTCGGTGACGTACTGTGACATAGAAAAGCACATTCAATTTGAAGACTAATTGCTGATTAAACGAGATAAAAATTAAGATTTAAGCAGAGTTTCCATGATAGCTTTAGTACGGCAACAACGATCGTTAGTGATTGACTGAATGATTTTTTTTATATAATATCTAGTGACGGGACGAACAAGTCATAAGACACGTTGACAAGTCCCATGTGCCTGTAATTTCACCAGCACCCTTACCCTTCGAAACCGGAACACAGTAATGCTGACATTAGTGCTTGGCGGCAGAAATAGGTAACATGGCAGTACTTCCCTGGACGAACTCTTTTAAAAGGAGCTCTACTGCTAATATGCTATTCATCGAGTATATAACCAGAAATAGAGGCGAAATAAGGGCCATCCATCCCTGGCAACTCATCAAGCAAATGGGCCTTATATCACTTTTAAATATTAACTCTCGTCTGCGCTGAACAGCGCAGCACAGCGTATTCCAAAAATATTCTGTATTTATTGCAATAAAGATAATATCTCTAACAATGGGGGTTGTTCCATTCGGTGTTGTGGGAAAAACAGCAAAACATCTAATTACAAAACAAACGGAATCACATTCCACACTTCAACTCATTGACTTACAAATAAATGGACGACGGGTCTAATACAAAAACCACGAAAAAAATGTCCCAAGTCAACCTATTTAAACGTAGTGACATGTCAAGGAATATGAAAAAGCTAAAACGTTGAATTTAAATTGTAATGTCATCGCAGTACTGTCTAATTTTGCTTGCTTCGCTGTCAGTCGAACAATCGAAGACTAGAGCGTGAATGACGCTCTGTATACGATTTTAACGGCCTATAAGTTCGGACATTTTTTAGCGCGGACCCGACGTCCATATAATTGTAAGTCAATGCTTCAACTGGTTAAACTGGTCGATGAAAGAATTGACGTCACGTCGTAATGATTTGGCAGAATAGTTTTCAAACAAATTAAATTACTTTTCATCTCTATTTCTCCATCCTTTATGCATTTTTCTGGTTATATAACTGGACACTACATTGTTTTTTTTCCCATTCTTTAGGCTACATTGAGACTCAACTGTGACTGCAACTAGATTTTAGCAGTATAACAAACATTATCATAATTGCAATAAAGGCTCTGTGGGGTCTCAATGGTATTACAATGACCAGTGGTTTCAATATAATCTCAGTACAGAATAGTAATAAAAAACCCACTCCAAAAGTACGTGGAATTATATCTATTTGCCAAGTTTTATTGAAATCGGTTACCGGAAAGTGCGCAAACCCGGATTCATCCCCTAGTTCGCCACTATACAGAACTTGACACAGGAGATAATAAAATCGGTTCCCACTACTGAAAGTATATTGAGAGAGAAAAACGCCTTGAATTTGAAAATTAAAATAATTGCTCCTTATTATAATAAAATTTAGGCGCTGTACGGTTTTTGCACCGTACAATACTTTGCTAAGTTAACAACCTACATATTGCACGTGTAAATGCTCATAAAAGACAGTTGACAACTCGCTTCACTAGCGATCGGCCACAGATAAGCATTCAAAACTATACTGTACACTTTTTACTTAATACATCAACTTATTACAGAAATTGTGGTTTACATCAACTCTATATCCTATTCTACTTAATAATACTCCAATCTTAGACGTTCAGAGAACCATACAGGCGCTATTTATAAAAATGAATCTTCATGCGTGAACAGCCACCCTTAGAGGTGGATGATTTTCTTCAAAATTAAATGGGACGACAATGAAGGTACCCACTTTGTAACAAAAGGAATCATTAAAATCTGTTCACAAATGGCTGAGGTATCGCGTAACATATGTACAAAGAAAACATAAAGTAAACCTCCTCCTTTTTTTGAAGTCGGTTAAAAATTAGAGGACTTGAGACCCATGACAACTGCAAAGAATAATGCATAAATTCAATGTAATTAATTCATATTGTATATATATATAATTAATCTAAAGCTACACATATATATATGTATATATATGTGTGTGTGTGTGTGTGTAGCTTTAGATCATACATACACGTGTCCAAATATTTTGTTTTAGAGTTTAAATGTAAGCTACGGTGTTTTCGAAAGTGACTGGACGGCAGCAGATCATAAAGTCCAAAAGGAAGTAGCCCTGATATGTGTATTGACTTCTAAAAGGTTAATCTTCAAGGCCGGGCCTTACTATGAAATGACTTTAAGCACGTTTGTTTCGGTAAGTACCACTACTTGTTTTTTTTGAATATTCAACTATTTATACTATAAATTTCAAATAAATCTTTTTTGTTACAGATCATCAAAGGGACCTACAGTTTTTACACTTTGCTAAGTAAAACTAACTAAGCACACAAGTAGCGATTTATTATGCAATAATACACACATGTAAAACTTATAGCACCTTTTGCACGTCTGTGATATACTTGTTTAATTAATCTTATCACGCTTTAATAAAGAAGTAATTTTGTAGTCACATTATACAGACACCAAAAGTGTTTTTAAGGATCAAGCAGGTTTTTGACAATAACTGAAAATCTGATTTTTGAATTATTTTTTTTAACACCGATGGATTTTGTTTTCTGGCCAATTTTATAATTTGAATTTGAAAATTAAATTGTCCAAAAATCCATTGGCATTAAAAAAAGTTAAAACCTGATTTTCATTGACTTACTAGATCCCAAGACAATTTTGATGTATGAATTATAATAACAAAATCATTTATTTCAGGCCACAACTCATAAGATTATTAAAAAGTTTCGATGATTCGTTTATTTCCTTTATGTCGTGATAGAACAGATGTAACAAATTATAATGCAAGCACGATCACGTTTCGCATAATATATTAAACAGCGTACAAATGTCTAGTTGTATTGTAAAATGTACTTTTTGAAATCATAATATAATAAAGTTTTAAGAAATTTAAATTGCATTTCATTCACAATTCAAACGAACGTTCCTTTTTACAGGCCACCAAAGAGACCTATAAATTTTTACCCATTATTCGGTAAAAGTAATAATGCACGCGATTGGCTGTCCATTGTGATTATTATACGATCTTTCGGTTCGTCTGTTTATAGTAGCAGTTTGGCAATTTAGTAGCAATAGAGCTCCTTATAAAACAGTTCATCCAGGGAAGTACTGCCGCCTTACCTGTTTCTGCCGCCAAGCAGTAATGTAAGCATTACTGTGTTACGATTATGAAGGGTAAAGGTGCTGGTGAAATTAACGTGGGACTTGTCAACTTATGTCTCATGGTGACGGGCGCAGGGGCAATGCCCCGCAAATCTTTGCGATTTAAAGCTCTGAGTGACATTGCAACTATTATAGACAGGCGTGTAGCTTACCACCAGGTGCACAACTTGTTCGTACCGTGACTTGATATTATAAATATTCTCACTTAATATTATAATTAAAAAAGTTTTAAAATAATACTACGTATGCTTAATCTTAACTACCTTATGATTATGACGCTTTAATAGGGAAAAAGTCTTATAAAACCTTTATACCTATTAATGCTTTATTTCCACTTGTAGTGCCTTTTGAAAGCATAATTCAATACGTACCTACCCTGCGTATAATAAAGCCACATGTGATTAGACATCAAAAATGCTTTTATGCCATGAAAATTTAAAAATAATACGAAATACATAAAACAAATTATGTATACGTGAAATATTACAACTCTCTTATTTAAATATAAATAAATAATCGATTTTAAACATATCCCCTGAAAAATAGGCATTAACATATGTGGCCTTATTTCCCCACGGGGCTAAAACAGGTTTGAAAATTCAAGATTGCATTTCATTGTGCCTACTTTCGAAAATTTACTTTCAATCTAGTTATATTGAAAATTGCCGTCTCATCAGTTGTAATTAGTATTCGAAGAGGCGGACCTTAGATAAGTGGTATTCAGTTAATGTAATATTCCGGTGCCAATATCTCACCCTGTTATTAGCAGTAATTTACTTTCATACTATTTATTACGATTGCATTCCATTTACGATTTTAATTTCATACTTATCACATTCGTGAGACGGCCCGAAATAGTCACACACGTATAGTAGAGAGATTATAAACGAGAGGTACAATAAACTTAGAAAAGTTTCCTTTTAGCAACCAGTATGGACTGGGTTTTCAATTTTCGATTTTAAAATCAAATGGGTTTTTTCTTTAGGTAGTCGATATTTTAGATAATATTCAGAAATTAAACTACGCTTATTTAAAACTTTTACATACAGTATACCCCATTCCATATCGGCGTGATGAAAGTGCTTTTTTAACCGACTTCTAAAAAGGAGGAAGTTCTCAATTCATCTGAGAGTTTTTTTTAATGTATGTTACGCGATAACTCCGGCTTGTGAACCGATTTGGATGAATCTTTTTGTTGGATAGGGTACCTCAATCCCATTTAAATTTTTACAAAATATTTCACCTCTAAGGATAGCAAACTAGGGAATATTCATCCCCTAGTTTGCCCCCTAGTTTACAGTTTACGCACACTTTCCGGTAACCGATTCTTAAATACATGTAACCGACCTTCGCCAATAGATTTAATTACATGAACTGTCGAAATCGGTTTTTAGTACTCTGTAATTGATTCATTTTACAAAATCTGGCACATTATATAAATATAATACACAAATAAGGCCACATCTGCAATATTACAACTACAAGAGAGAAGTTTTAAGATTCTATGAACGAAATTGGCCGATAACCTTTTTATGCTTAATTAGTAGAGTTATAAAATTTCACTTAGGTATAGGTACATAATTTATTTCACGTAGTCCAAATTACCTTTATGATTTTCATTTGATAAAAGCACTTATTTTAATGTATGATCAATCGATCACATGTGGCATTATCATACCAAGGGTATGAGATATTAATTGAATGGAATCAATTGTGACGATGCGACCTCTTTCGTTGTCATCCCAACTTTTTATCATTCTTTTCTCTGGTTCCTGGCCACCTTAATTTGAAATTTTGAATCGTTCTTAAATTCCTTTCCTTCTTCGTCTACTTTTCTTCTTTCCATCGTCACTCTCTACGAAACTCCCGAAGCGAGCAGACGTGCTATTTCTCACCACACTAAATTACAAATACAATAGTTTCTTATATACGTTTAATGACGTAACGTGTTTATACACATACATCACACACATATTTGTGAAAAAGTTCATAATAAACACCTGATAAGTCAAGAAATGGCAAACCTCCACAAGGACACCAACAGGACTCTTCAGGCTACACTACAGCCTACAGGACATGCTTGAGCGGTGCCAGCAGCGCGTGACAGAACTATCCAAAAATTATCACAAAATAAATAAATTTATCGACCAACTATAATATACATGTATAATGGTTTCATATCTTTCTGGACTATAACGAACATTACGTTTTAACCTTATCAAAAGAGCACTCATTTACAAAATTGAACGTATATATATGTACATATCGGCACCAGCTATCACTTCAAATTAATATATAATAATAAGTTATTAGATAAACGATTTACTAGGCTACCTACGCGATCATGGTTTCTTTGATTACAAATGTCACATCAGTTTGACAGCTCAAAGTGGGTACGGTCGGAGAGACGGGGCTTTTTGTGTGAGTTGTTTGGACAGTGAAGACGTACCGCCTCGCTCTTTCTCAAATTGCCGCGTGATATTTAGAATCACAAAATAAAGATGTGGTCTGTGTTTAGAATCCTTTTTAACCTCGTCCATCTCTTATACTTTCGGACTAAGGGTCGTATTCCAGAACTCTACTCAATGCTCAAGTCAGGACTTGAG